TCTCACACACACACTCACACACACACACACTCACACACTCTCACACTTCATCACTGACTGTGCTGCGGAGGAACGATCATCCTCTACAGTCTCGTCTACAGTAGAAACTGTAGAATCACATGTATAAAGGGCAGTCTCAGAAAGGCGTTAATAAATAGCAGCGTCAGTCTCTGGTGGCGCGGTCAGTCGTTTTTGGTGTTGTGTGAGGCGTCCAGATTGACGACCTGAAGCTCGGTCAGGCTACTGCTGCTGCCGCTGGACTGCTGACCAATCACCATCTGCAGAAGAGAGCCGCTCATCAGCCAAACACTGCACATCTGCTTCAGCAACAGCTGCTCATCACACACCGATCATATCATCTCACTAGGGACTGGCTTCACATGCTTACCTTTACTTCTGACATCTATGCATTTGACAGGTGCACAAATTACACCGCACATAAAGTCACGTAAAGTCTGACGTTGTCAAGATAATGTCACTATGGAAGCCTGTTTCCACAACAGAATAAAACATAAAAGAGGTAATGTGACATTTCATCTCACAGTTCTGACTTTTTTCTTGCAACTCTGTATATTGTGAGATACAAACTTGCAATGGCTAGAAAAAAGTCAGAATTGACTTGAGACTCGATTTTTATTTTTTATTCCGTGGTGGAAACAAAATAAAACAAAAAACTAAATTGTGAATGTACACGAATGTAAAAACGTAAGAATTCTGTTTATATCTTGCAATTCTTTTTTGCTCAGAATGGCTAGAAAAGTCGGAATTGTGAGATAAAAAGTTGCAATTACCTTTTTATTTATTTATTTATTTAATTCTGTGGCAGAAACAAGCTTCCATGCATCACAGTACTCTAATAAGCATAAAAATACGTACACAAATATTGGGTTATATAATAATTACTAAAATAATAAAATATAATAAGAAAAATAAAATATTAATTTTTAATTGGGTTAAGAATATTCAAGAATGCGTTTCTGCGGAAAAAAAGATCATTTAAGAATCCCGTTTACTTTTAAGCTGATGACATATATTCATTAAATGCATTTAATATTATTAAAAAAAATTTAAATAAAAATAAATAAATGAATAAATATCTCCACAGAAACACATTCTTGAGTGTGCAATGCATTCTGGGATTCTACTCCAGAATCTGAACTTGGTTAAAATAAGATCTCCGAGACGGTAGGATGAAGTAATTGACTATTGTTTGAAACAGACTGAATGCTTAATTTTGCCAATTAATAAATTGATAAATCAGTTTTTCATGTGTAGATAAGTTATAACCGTCGGTCATATATTAGTATCATTTAACAACATGAGCCAAAGGCATTTTGCCAATTAATAAATTGATAAATCAGTTTTTCATGTGTAGATAAGTTATAACCGTCGGTCATATATTAGTATTATTTAACAACATGAGCCAAAGGGAAATCCTGCAGCAAAAGCAGCTGTTTTTGAGTGGATCTGAGTGTGAGTTTGTGAGAATCATTGCTCTGAGTTGGTGTTAAGCGTGTTCAGAGCGTGTGCTGGTGCTCATGCAGCGCTGCGTTAGTGCAGTCGGTGTAATGCATGCTGGGTAATGAGAGAATATTGAGAGTTTCACTTGTGAAGTGTTGATCTTGCCGTACTGGATGAAGCTGCACCGCCGAGACAGGAATCTGAACCGTACCAGGAGGAGCTGTGAGGAACACCTGAGGAACACCGCCTGAACACACACACACACACACACACACACACACACACAGAGAGAGACAGAGACACACAGTTACTCAAAAACACTTCTGCAAATCTTCAAGAACACCGTTTCACACAGAGTTCAAAAGGCACTTTACATTTCAAGAAAGCATGTTCTTCTTCATGAAAAAGTACACTTTAAGTGCAAACTGAATGTAATGTTTTCTCACACTTAATTGCATGTTAATTGCATTAAAGTTTGAATTTATATTAAATGCAATTAGTAGTAAGAGTGCTGTTTTGACTCACTTCAGTACATCATTATATCTCCTTTCATAATTACTTCTATTGTACTGTACTGACTTTTAGTATATTTAAAATATATTAACTTTAAATGTGATATCAAATATCCAAAAAATATACTTTTAACATTTGAAATACACTAAAAGTGCAATACAATGTTTGAGTCTGTGAGTGTGTGTGTGTGTGTGTGAGTGTGTGTGTGTGTGTACGCATATGAGTGTGTGTGTGTGTGTGTGTGCGCA